CAAGCTCCAGGGCTCCATCCCAAGCTCCAGGGCTCCATCCCAAGCTCTGCGGCTCCATCCCACACTCCAGGGCTCCATCCCACGCTCCCGGTGTCCCCGGGGTCGGCTCCTTACTTCTTGGGTTTCCTGGGAGAGATGTCGATGGCGGGGCCGGGCGCTGGCATGTCCATGGGGAACATGTCCACCCACATCTCCAGGCGGCCCTGCGGGGGTGCAGGGGGGCAGTCAGAACCCCCCAGATGTGGGGCAGGGACTGCAGTGCTGGACCCTCTAAATATGGGGCAGGGCCTGCAGTGCTGAACCCCCAGATGTGGGGCAGGACCTGTAGTGCTGAACCCCCTAAATATGGGGTTGAACCCTCCAGATGTGGGGCTGAACCCCCCAGATGTGGGTCAGAGCCTGCAGTGCTGAACCCCCTAAATATGGGGCTGAACCCCCCAGATGTGGGGCTGAACCTTCCAGATATGGGGCAGGACCTGCAGTACTGGAACCCTGTAAATATGGGGCAGGGCCTGCAGTGCTGAACCCTCTAAATATGGGGCAGGACAAGGTTCTCCCGTGCCCTGAGATCATTCCCACCACGTGCAGAAGGGCCCCGTGGGCTGGTGTGATCCCAAAGGTTCACAGGGGTCGGGAATCCAGAGAATCCCGGGGACTTTGGGGCACGGAATGGCCACACCTGGAGCAGCAGGAGGAGATCAAGGGGGTGACAGCCAAGAGGTGTTGATGCCTGAAGCGCCCCCAGCCCTCTGCCTGCCCCGGGGTGGTTTGCCAGGCTGGTTTTTGCCCCCCCTTGTGCCCCTGTTTTGCCCCCAGGACCTGCTCGATGCCCGGCTTGTCGGGGTTGAGCAGCGGCCGCGTCTCCACGTGCTCGGGGACGAGGCGGCAGCCGGCGCGGGGAACGTCCTCCCAGTGCCGCAGGGCCGCCAGCGCCACCGGCTCGTCCGACGCCTTCTTCTGGCCTGGGGGGGCACGGCAGGGCCTGCAGAGCCGGGCATGGGGGCACCCCGTGCCCACAGCCCTGCTGCAGCTCCTTGGGACACGGTCTGTCCTGCAGCCAGCGCTTCCTGACTCCTCTCTCCATCCCTCCATCTCTCCTGATCCCCCTCCCAGTCTGAACCAATTCCATGTCCACTGACATGTTCTCCCCCATCTCCCACTGTCTGGGGGTGCAGTTCCATGAAGAACAGCTTCCCGAGCCCTGGAAAGGCCAGGCTGGGCCTTGCTCCCAGGGGGCAGAACTGCCTGATGTCTCCCTTTCCCTGGGGACAGTTTGTCCTCCAGCCAATGCTTCCCGACTCCTCTCCCTCTCTCCTCTCCATCCCTCCATCTCTCCAGATCCCCCTCCAGCCTGTGTTTTCTCAGTCTGAACCAATTCCATGTCCACTGACATGTTCTCCCCCATCTCCCACTGTCTGGGGGTGCAGTTCCATGGAGAACAGCTTCCCAAGCCCTGGAAAGGCCAGGGTTAGGGGCAGAACTGCCCAGTGCTCTCCCTCTCCTTGGGGACAGTTTGTCCTTCAGCCAACGCGTCCTGACTCCCTTCCTTCTCCCTGCTCCATCCCTCCATCTCTCCAGATCCCCCTCCCAGTCTGAACCAATTCTGTGTCCATTGACATGTTCTCCATCCCCATCTCCCACAGTCTGGGGGTGCAGTTCCATGGGGAACAGCTCCCTGAGCCCTGGGAAGGCCAGGGTGGGCCTTGATCCCAGGGGGTAGAACTCTCCCTTTCCTTGGGGACAGTCTGTGCTTCAGCCAACGCTTCCTGACTCCTCTCCTTCTCTTCTCTCCATCCCTCCATCTCTCCAGATCCCCCTCCAGCCCGTGTTCTCCCAGTCTGAACCAATTCTGTGTCCATTTACATGTTCTCCATCCCCATCTCCCACTGTCTGTACTGCAGTTCCATGGAGAACAGCTTCCCGAGCCCTGGGAAGGCCAGGGTGGGCCTTGATCCCAGGGGGTAGAACTCTCCCTTTCCTTGGGGACAGTTTGTCCTTCAGCCAACGCTTCCTGACTCCTCTCCATCCCTCCATCTCTCCAGATCCCCCTCCAGCCCGTGTTCTCCCAGTCTGAACCAATTCCATGTCCATTGACATGTTCTCCATCCCCATCTCCCACTATCTGGGGGTGCAGCTCCATGGAGAACAGCTTCCCGAGCCATGGGAAGGCCAGGGTTAGGGGCAGAACTGCCCAGTGCTCTCCCTCTCCTTGGGGACAGTTTGTCCTTCAGCCAACGCTTCCTGACTCCTCTCCTTCTCCCCTCTCCATCCCTCCATCTCTCCAGATCCCCCTTCAGCCTTTGTTTTCCCAGTCTGAACCAATTCCGTGTCCACTGACGTGTTCTCCTCCTCTTCTTCACCCCTGACCTGCCTCCCTCTGTCTCTTGGGGACGTGCCAGCAGGTCCCTCTGAGGGGGAAGTTGCATTTTGGGGTGACGGTTGCAGGGTCGGTGTGACGGTTGCAGGGTTGGGGTGATGGTTGCAGGGTCAGGGTGATGGTTGCAGGGTTGGGGTGACGGTTGCAGGGTTGGGGTGAAGGTCGCAGGGTTGGGGTGAAGGTCGCAGGGTTGGGGTGACGGTTGCAGGGTTGGGGTGACGGTTGCAGGGTTGGGGTGACGGTTGCAGGGTTGGGGTGACGGTTGCGGGGTTGGGGTGACGGTTGCAGGGTTGGGGTGACGGTTGCGGGGTTGGGGTGATGGTTGCAGGGTCGGGGTGACGGTTGCGGGGTTGGGGTGATGGTTGCAGGGTTGGGGTGATGGTTGCAGGGTTGGGGTGACGGTTGCAGGGTTGGGGTGATGGTTGCAGGGTCGGGGTGACGGTTGCAGGGTCGGGGTGACGGGTGCAGGGTTGGGGTGATGGTTGCAGGGTTGGGGTGACGGTTGCAGGGTTGGGGTGACGGTTGCAGGGTTGGGGTGACGGTTGCAGGGTTGGGGTGACGGTTGCGGGGTTGGGGTGACGGTTACAGGATTGGGGTGACGGTTGCAGGGTTGGGGTGATGGTTGCAGGGTTGGGGTGACGGTTCCAGGGTTGGGGTGACGGTTGCGGGGTTGGGGTGACGGTTCCAGGGTTGGGGTGACGGGGCCGCTCAATCTCATGAGGGTTGGACTGGACGACCTTCTAAGGCCCTTCCCAACCCAACCCATCCCATGATCCCAATCCTGGAGGACGAGGGGACAGCCCAGGCCCCGCTCCCCTGCCCAGCCCTCGCCCCACGGGCTCCTACCGTTCTCATCCTCGATCTCCGTGGGGCCGGTGAAGACCCTGTTGGCGACTTTGACTCTCCCTCCCGGCCCGAAGTGTGGCCCGTCCACCTTCCCTTCCTTGCACAGCTTGGCCAGGATCTGGGAGGGCTTCATGGGGTCCCTCCAGGCGTTGTAGCCGTGGCTGTGAACGGGTCAGCGAGGAAAGACTTGGAGGGAAAAGTCATTTCGTCCCCCCCCTTTCCCTGCCAAACAAACCCTGGACACGGGATTCCCGGGGAAAGGATTTGGGGC